GGTAAGAGGAAATCTGTGTATTTCTGCATTCATGACTTGTTTTAAACTCTATACACCATTCCTAGATGTAGCGGAGGAGATCAAGCATATGTCAAAAAAATTTGATTTACTAATTTGTGAGTGTAAGCCCCTATTGGCCGAAGTACAACACATAATTGCAAGTTTGTTTGTCTTTATACCGTTTTTTCTGTTAGTAACATGTATCTCTAAGACATCTCATATAAGAGGCCAGTCCTGGTTGATCATAATATCATACAGTATCTATATATGAGAAATTACATGAAACAGTTGTGCATTTTTATTTCATTGCTTCTATATGTCTATATTATGCCTTTTCTCAACATAAAAGTATTTATTAGGGCCATCACTCCTTTGGAATGAGGTTATTAGACAATTGTTACAAGTTTTACTAATGGGCATGTGAGGAATTGGTGTAGAGTTCTTGAAATGAAGCATTTTCCTAATTAATTTTGCACTGGAACGCCCACCTCTGAAATTATGGAGGGTGAGGTAAGGGCAGGTTCGCTTCAATCTCAAGAAAAGCAAATGTTTGTACCAAATAGGATGATCATCTTTCTTGTCATTTTTATGAGATGACCATGATAATTACAGAATAACATTTTCATTGTGATATTTGGGCGACACTTATAGCCAAACGTAACTTGTAGATAGTTGTTATTGTTACAAATTTAATTTTGCATGTATATCATTTTCTTTCATCAGGAAAGATGATTCAAATGAAATCCAACAAAGGTTGCAAATATGTTCTGAATATGAATATCTTAAACTAACTGCATCTGGTTTTCGATGGATAGCATGATTGGAAAAAGAAAATGCAGTGCTAATTTACACACGACAGGATTATTAGCTTTAAATTTTGGCTTAGTTATAGATCTCCCTTCCACTTAGCAAATAGACAACAGAAATTTTCACTATGTTACCACTGTTCTAGAAGAAAATTTCATGTAACTATATGTGACAAACTCATTGTTTTTTATAGGTTGAAGTGAATGGAAAAGAGGCTACTACTCTTTAAAAGTTCTTGAAATAAGAGAAAGGGTCCCACTCTCTTGAAAATGGCGGACCAAATTCAAATAATGGATCAACAATTTCTTATCATGGATATTTAGCTTTGAACTCACCGATTTGTAGTTGGTGATAGAAATTTACTACAGCATTCCAGGAAATTGTGGATGCATATGGGTAAGTCATGGTTCAACATACACGGAAGTTCAGTGATATGAACAACCTCTTTTAATGCTAAATAAGTAATAATAATCATCACCTATTTATAGCAACATGGTTGAACAACTAACACACTTGTTGACACGGAAAAATGTGTATCAGTATGATTCCAATCATTTTACTTTATTCAGGCTATAGGAGCTAAGACACAATAAAAACAAAGATCACTGCTCAAATCTGCATTTATTCATACACATCAACATATAAAAGTCATTTTCATTTTCTTGTTCGCTCCACATTGGTAACTGAGTCTGATTTCATTTATTTCAGGATTGCCAGATATCAAGAAGCAAATCCTGGCGTATAGACTATTGTCACATTTCCGTTTCTATTTGCAATAATGTTTGCAATCTATGTAGCACGGACACGGATCCGACACGGCCATCCGACACACCGACACGAGGCAAATTCTAAAAAATACATAGGATACGTGTGTTCGACACGTGTGTCCGACACGGACACGACATGACACGGCTTCATGTTATGCGTGTCCGTGCTTCATAGTTTGCAATAATGTTTGGTGAATGGGGTCATGGTTTTTGCTTGTTGGCTGCTACACAATATTTCATATTCTGAGAAAAGAAACTATCTTCTGAGGTCAGCATGTTGTAGTCTGAGTCTTGAAAATTTTACTACAAAAAATACGAAAAATATAAAAAATACATGTCCTACTTCAACCATTTTTTGCGTGATTTAGCTTGCTCAACTTTCTTTCTTTGAATGCTTGATGTTCGTTATATTGTTAGCGCACAAGGGTCGTGATTTAGCTTGCTCAACTTTCTTTCTTTGAATGCTTGATGTTCGTTATATTGTTAGCGCACAAGGGTTCCTTTACTACCCCATCTTTGAATGCTTGATGTTCGTTATATTGTTAGCGCACAAGGGTTCCTTTACTACCCCAGGTTTATTTATATTTTCTTTATTTTTTTATAGGCCCCTGTTTTCAAAGAAACATCCATGGCAATACCTGCAATTCCAGGAATCGTGCAACATGAAATCTTAAACAATAGAAGACATGTCTTGACTAAGGTGATATGATGCCTGACTTTTGTGTACATAGAAGTGATGTTACTATTTTTTCGTGTTCTCACAATTATAAGCATATTCCTTGGTGGATGTATGTTTCCATAACAAAAGGTCATTACGTGTACAACATGCAGCAAGTTCTGTTAAACTGTGGGATATTACCAAGGGAATTGTAATTCAAATATAGGAATATGGTCTTCGATGGGTAAAGAGATTGGAAAAAGAAAATACAGTGTTAATTTTCACATGACAACATTATTAGCTTTAAATTTTGGCTTAGTTATAGATCTCTTTTGCACTTAGAAAATATAAAACAGAAATTTTCACTATGTTGTCATTGTTCTAGAAAAAAATTTCATTTAACTATATGTGACTGACTGATTGTTTTTTGTAGGTTGAAGTGAATGGAAAGGAGGCTCCTACTCTTTATAAGTTCTTGAAATAAAAAAGGAGGTTTTTTTGGACGATAGCATCGAGTGGAATTTCACTATGTTCCTTGTGGACAAAGAAGGAAAAGTCATGGAAAAATATGCACCAACCACTTCACCTTTGAAAATAAAGGTACTACTTTGACAGTGTACTGTATAATTTTGCTTTACTTTTATTTGTACTTTTTATTGTCACTATATCTTCCAGAAAACAATATAGAGCCTTTTGGGGTTTGCATGAATTTATGTGACTTCTTTGAGGAACTATATTATTGTAATGCGAGTATGTGATCTTACGTATGAATAAAGGGATGTTTCTTCTAAAAAACTTGTATATTGCTGGAAATTCATTAGCTTCTTATTGTATGTAAGAAATATTATTTATTTTTAATTATTGGCTTTCAACAATAAAGCTATGTTTGCAAGCTATCGTGTTGACTCTTTTTTACTCTCATTGTATGTATATCGCCATGCTAATTGAATACTTTCCTGGTTTGTAATGTGATGTTGAATATTAGTTATTTACAGTTAGATCAACTAACATTTTCTTAATTGTGCTGTCACTTTTATCATGTACACCATATATATAGTTGATTATATTCCTTCTCTACGAACAATATCCTAAGTCCAGTGAAATAATATTTAATTGGCGTTCATCTTGTGTGTTGTGTATAAGTTCAATGTATAATTATGGAAACATTATGGCTTTTGACTCTTGGTAGTTTTTTAATATGCATCACGTGTAACGCACGTATATCATACTAGTAAGATAAAGAGAAAAGGTAATGACATTGTCAACAGTACTACAAGTAAAAAACTACAATATAGAGTTAACATATTTTGTGGAGCCCAACTACTAGCTATAAGCATCGAGGTTTCAATATATACTTTATAATTTATTTAAAAAGGTCATATAATCTTATATAATAAAATTGATTTACTATTGAATAGTAATATCATTGTAATAATATCGTTTTATTAGAAAAAATTCTTCATGAACCAATATGTTTGTTATGATATATAAGCTATGCACTCTAAATTCTTGCATCTTATATAGAACAAAAAAATTTGAATACAAGCCTCTAACATGGTGCTCTCACAACAACAAAATCAACTTAGCAGATGTGGATATTCCAGATGAGTTATGTATTCTATATACAATATAATTGCCCTAGACAAATGAGTTATAATAGCATTTTTCATTCACATCAATTGGGGTGAGATTTGATAGAGACCTTGCATCAAAGAAAAAAAATTATATTTAGAGCACATGACGAAATATATCATCATCTCCCTGTTCTAATTTCATTAAAAAAAATAATTCTTCATACTTTTAATTTTACTTCTATGATACAGAAAATGAGTTATAAAATTGAATGAGAATATTAGATAACATAAATATGAGTATAACAACTAAAAGTTAACATGAATAGGAGTCAAACCACAACTAAAAGTTTAATGGACATATTACAAGCAAATTCATATAAAAATTCATTTACGAACTAAATGATCACCCATCTTTTGAAGACTTCAAGATACTAATAAATAGATATGTTGTACTAAATTAAAGTGTTTATAACTCACAAATAGTAGATAACGTGGTCACAGTCTGGGTTGAAGGAAATAATGATAATATTTTATTTGAGAGACGGATCATTGAGTTGATGATCAATCCCACAAAACACTTTGTTTTTTTACTCTATTTTTATCAATTTAAATAATCATGATATTCAACAACGGTGCATTGCACGTGCATCACAACTAGTTCCCATTAAATGTATAAGTAAAGATTAGCGAATTTTCGGTCCATGCATGACATGGTAGGATAGAGTCTACCCATCAAAGCTTGGCCAATAGGCAGCTAAAGCCAGGTTTTGCTGAGCCAGACTTAGGCACCGTCAGGCCAATTGCCAGCCATACACACAAGAAACATCCATAAAGTATCTGTCTCTAACACCTATTAGAGTAAGGATTCTATCAGAACACCCATAGAAAAGGGTGACCTATACCATTCACGGATGGTAAGAAGGTTAATTTGGTAATTCTGACTATCCTATTAATGGTGTAAATCACCCCACTCCTATAGGTATGGTTCTGATAGGATCCCTATTGTATCTATTAGACATGGATATATCTTCACGATCACCTTTGGTGATGCATCAGTAAACAAACACCCTTTCAGAGTTTTCATGCCTTTGTTGACTAATCACGTGAATGAGAGCAGTTGAAATTCAAATGATCTATAAAGAAACAGAAAGTTTCTTGCTAATTGACTAAGCTGACTCCAAATTAGATACCAACCTTCCACTCTTCAGAAGGAATGCAGATTGAGCATTTTCATTATGCAGATATACCCTGGGTGAGAGTTCTAGAGTAATTGCATCCACCTGGTAATCACGAAAAGCACCATGGGGCCCAGTGGGAACTCCAAGCGCCTGCAGATTAGACAACACTGTATAAGCTTAGTAAACATTTTTGACAATCTAAGTTCAAGTAATATTATCAAGAACACTTGAGACAACTTAATATTACCTGATTAAAAATTGACCTAGCAACTGTGGAAGTACCTTCAACAAATTCAGCAGATGTGATTCCAAATTTCCATTTGGGGTTTAAGATTTTGACCAGCTTGCCAACACTTTGAAGTATTTCCCCGACAAACTTCAGGCATGTGGAGTGGAGTAAAGAATCTACCATCCCAACCACCACTTTCAAACCTTGTCTGTGAACTGCCAAATAATGAGCAGTGTTGATAAGGTCAAGGTTAGGCATCTGGCCATTGGATGCCTCTGCATATATATCAAGTCTATCCCTCTCGCTTCTTTCTTTACTTTCTGTCACCTTGAATACAAGAGCAGCAGCCATGGTTCCAGATCGTTTGAAAACATTTGGATTATTCTCCTTAAAAAGTTTATTCTCCCATTGACGATGAATATCCTTTACAGAACACATGCCAAAATCTACTTTCCCTGCATCACTGAAGAAAACAGGAGTATGGTAGTCTTTCAGCCATGCTGAAACTGCAGTATACTCTCCATGTTGAGAATCAGCAGCAAGCCACACAATATCCTTTGCAAGCCATGTGACTCTGCTAAGGAAGGAGAAGATTGAGTATGCAAGACCTAATGATACTGCATCGCTTAGTTGAATATTCTCTGAGTTGTAAGGAGAAACCAACACAATTGCTTCCTTTCCATCACCACGAGGAGCACGTATAATACCAACAGAATTTACACCAAATGATGAACAACTATTATTAGTTTCCATGGTTGAAGTACTAGGGGCGCAAGAAAAGAAATGCAGAGGGTGGAACTGTGCACCGTCAGCAATGAACTTATGATAATAAGCTTCTGCCCCCACATCCACCACTCGTTGTTCTATCAACCTAGGGATTTCTCTGTACCATTGTACACAAAGTTTAGGTCATTAAGATCAGAATTTTCTGAATTCAACAAAGAAGGTCATCCAAAGAGTTCGTTTATTGCTAAATATGAATTAAACAATCGTACTAGCTTAAAACCCAAATGCATGATGATGTGCTTAGGAGCACGTAATAATTCTAATTGGTTTGCAAATTCTAGACAAAGTTACTTCAATTTTTCATTGAAACTTGTATTACAATCCCACAGGAACTAGAAATAGCATGCTCTTGATTCTTAATTATCATGTGCAAATATAGATGTGAGCACATCACAGCATTGCATGCTAGTTTTCCACGACAGCAGAAGCCAAACCAAGAATTTGCTTAAGAAATATGGAATTTCCCCATAATTTGAGAAATTGGACAAGGTATAAATAGAAAGGTACCTTCTTCACCTTCCTCTTTTTTTTCTTTTTTCTTTTTTCTTTTTTTTTTGTTCTTTTTTTCTTTTTCTTTTTTTTTTTTTATATAATTTGCAAAAGTATAGTTAACATACCTATATTTATATTTTATAGGAAGGTCTGAATTCTCAATGTCGGTCATGGTTTTCTTTCACCTTTATTTATAGCAATAGCTAGAGTTTCGGAAAATTCAGGAATCTTAAACATGAAATAAAAGTTTGATCATAAATTCTATTCATTTTTTTCTTAATTTTTCCTGATATATCAACATAAAATCAATCTTGGCAATTCAAACCTCAAACTACTCCAGCATTAGTTGTCATTTCCCTAAACCTATCTTAATCATTATTAGCCAACACCAGAAATATTGCCCTGTTTCAATTGTACTGGATCAAATACGTAAGATCAGATACAATATGGCCTTTAAACCTTGATTTATAGTATATGGAACTACAGTTTGTAAGCATTTAACTAGTCAAACTAACTATAGTTCAAAAACCTTCAAAACCAAACTGGTTATCAGTGTTTTGGAGATAAATATTTTCACTATAGAAAACTACAATTAAGAATGTTTAACAGCAAAACTAGACGAAGCTTGATAAATATACAAGAGTAAGTGAGAAGATGTAACCTTGTAAACGGTCCAATGACCTTTTGTGTGAGCTATGTTATCTAAAAGTATGTATAGAACTGATTAGTCTTTGTTTTATGACACTAATATGTATATACTAAAAAGACCGTTTTGTTTTTTATTAGGGTATGAGAGGAACATTTGGAACATTTGACGTTTCTAAAGATTTCAGGCATGGTCCCAATAAAAGCCCACCGAAACTAATCCTCCTAAGTAATGTACCATGGCCATGACATTATGTAAGGTTCAAGCAGAAAACAACTGATAAATTTTAATAAAATTGTTGAAATTTACACCTTCATTTTGGGTTGTTGCATTTATGTTTTCCCAAATGCTGACAAATGAAAAGCAAAAACCATTTTCATACAATTATGAATGAGATACGCATACAGAAAGTGCACACATCAACTAATTAATTGATCCTATATTATTCATAAAGCTGTGATTTTGAACCCTAAAAAAAAGATCAGAGCTAAGATAAAAGATTAACCACATGCATATATCTCTAATGAAAACACAAAAGAATTGCAAATAGACATACATTCTTCTTCCTTCTTCGGTAACTGATGTATCAAGTATATCTCTAACAAATTTCTTGGCTTCCACTACATCTTGAATAGAGAACATCGGATTTGCGGATCCTGTTTAAAGAAGAAAACCATAAGCCTCTACACGAAGTCAAAAACCCCAAATATCATACATGTGAACTTTTTTGTCTAACACGATAATAATGGAAAAAAGGAATGACCTGGTAGGAGAGCATTTTCAGAAATGTAGGTGTTGTTGGCAAGAACAGGCAGGAGGATAAGTGCAATTAGTCCTGCAGTGCAGCACACCACACTGATCCAATGCAAGATCAATCCAAACCCAAATTAGATAATAATAAAAAAGGAAATTGAACGAAATTAGAAATAACTAGACGTTGTTGTTTATACCTGAAGAGGATAGAGTGAACGATGAGGAAAGAACCGAGACGGACAATGAGCCTTGATCTCCTCTTAAATGGCTTCTTGCTGGTCGCATCTTCCTCTTTCTCCTTCATCGTGGCCGTAGTCGTTGCCATTGCTGTTTTAATCAATCTGTTATAGGTTTTACGGTATTGTCCCAGAAAATCGACATTAATTAAATTCTAAAAAAACAAGTTTTTGAGAAAAGAGCAAAGCTAAAGCTCTAGAGATCTAAAAATTGAAATGTGATGGGGAAAAATTTATTAAACAAAAAAAGAAAACTAAACCCGAGCTTCACATGATGTGTTTGCTCTGCAACAAGCACAATTTGATTATGGCCGCAGTCATCGCCATTTCTATCGAAATCAATATGTTAGGGTTCTAAAGTACTTTATTAGGGAATCCGCTTCAACAACTGGGCGCACCACCTAAAACCCTAGAGATGTAGCAGAAACGCCTATGAAAACTTAATTGAGATTAGTTTTAACGACAAGTTTTAAGTTGTAATCACAGAAATTGCTCCATATTAATTTTAATCGACAAGTTTGATGGACTGAAGACTTACTTGAGATTCGTCTCGATGAGGTTCGAGGGCTGGAAGTTGGCAGAGGAGTGACAATGAGAGTAATTAAAAAAAAACAAGAATTTTGTTTGGAAATCATTTGGGCCACTGGCCAATCGAGTTGTTTCTACAATTCAATCCTAACAAAGCATTACAACTAAACAAAGCAACAAATTCAATTTAAAAAAAAAAGGAAACTTTACCAATGAAAGAGCAAATCTAGCAGTCCATTACAGGGAGCAGGTCAAAGTAGAGAACAAATGAGATCAAACAGTTGGTAATTTGATTCAAGAAAGTACCTCCTGCGATTCAGCGCATTTAAGATTGGATCTTTGGATTTATTATTTTTGGAAATCGGAAGAAAATGATGAGCATGAGTAAATTGAGAAGGAAAAGCGTGAGAGAAGGGTAAGTGGAGAAGGAGTCGGCGCTGAATAGAATGACTTCTCTAACGTGCGCGCCGCCGTGAGAGAGGAGGAATTAGGAAATAGGAGTGAGGGTATCACGTTTCTCCCGCAATCGCAGCCCTACCTGTCCTCGTAGAATAAATGTGGGACTGGATCAGACTTTTTAGGTGGGGATAGTTCAGGTATCAGATTGGCAGTGCTCGCCTGCATAATTTTTTGCCTAATTAGCATTTAAATACCTTATTTCCTCTACTTTGCACTTGCTAGTTGCATTTTAAGGACAAATTTTCAAAACCATCCTATTTGCAATTTTATTCTTAAAAAACGACCCCTTTCAAAATCATTTGTAAAAACCGATCTGGTTTCAGCCTTAGTGCTGAAACCAGGTCGGTTTTACAAAAAAAGTTCCAAAACTTCACGGGACTTCAAGTCTCGTGAAGTTTAGCAGCTATTTTGTTAAGCTGCTAAACTTCACCGGACTTCAAGTCCCGTGAAGTTTTAAAGTTTAAAAAAATTTCACGGGACTTGAAGTCCCGTGAAGTTTTTTAAACTTTAAACAAAACCTTCGTAACCCTTGAACGCGTAAAACTCGACGTGAAGTTTTTTAAACTTTAAAAAAAACCTTCGTAACCCTTGAATGCGTAATACTCGATCCTCATATAATAAACCCCGGCAAGAACAGCAACGAGCCCAGAATCGCAAATGAGACCCCTAATTTTTCTAAAATCGCATCAAAATTGCACCAATCAAGAAATTTATTAGGGTTTTGGGAGTGAAGAGGGTTTTGGTACCGTGAGCTCTGTCGCCGACGATTCTGTTGACTGCCATGAAAGATCTGAAGACGATGGCTAAGGTTCCGAAGACGATGAGGGCGACGGCGAGGGCGACCCCTTTGATGGGTGGCAAGTTTTCACAAATAATTCAAACATGAGCCATTAGAGACCACGTCGGAGATTGAGAATAAAATTTCAAAACCCCTCTTTGCTCCACGTAAGCCATTAGAAAGAGAGAGAAGAGAGAGCAGGTGACAAGTTTTGTGCGGACTGGAGTGGCATTTGTGGGGACTGGAGTAGCAAAGCAAGAGAAAGCGGATGAGCACCTGTTGTTGTGTACTTTGTGTTGGGGAAATATCAGATACACTCTGACACCCGTTCTGCGGAATTTGCCCTACCGGATCTTGTGTTAAGCAATGAAAAAAAGAAATCACAGTAAATCTAAATTACAAGAATAATAACACCGAGTTTTAACGAGGTTCGGTAATTTGCCTACGTCCTCGGGAGCCACACAAATAATTTCCTTTATATTAAAGAAGATTACAAAGCTTGTAAAGGAGTAGATCTCAAACTTGAGATCTCTCAAAAGAAGAGCTAAACAGAAACTCTCTGTTGTTCAAATAAAGGCGCGAGATTTTACAACAGTAAAATCTCCTCTTTTTCTCCTCAATAAATGTTACAGGAACTCTCTCTCTCTCTCTCTTCTTGAATTTTCCCTTCCTTATTAATTTCCCCCAAATCACAGACTGATATGGGTGTATCTTCTTCCCTGTCTCGGGAGCTTAGTGATCCTCATGGGAGCTTAAGGATAGATGATTCTCATGGTATCTTGAGAATAGAGTCGTGGTTGGAGCCAAAGAAGACGACGAAAGAAGTCGGAAGGAGCGAAACGCAGAAGAACAGGGTAAACTGGCAGTTCTCTGTCCGGTCGACCGCGGCACACATGCCGGTCAACCGGACAACCCTGCAGGGCACAGGGAACAGAAAGTTCTCTGGCCGGTCGACCGAACCATGCTTAGCGGTCGACCGGATGGTGAATTCTGGGTTTCCTGTTTCGTTTTGGATTCTGTTCTGACAGGGACTCCTCTTTCTTTTGGGCTTGTTTATTTATAAGATTGCCACCCACATTGTACCTGATATAAATAGGTTATTGTAGGGTCTTAAAAAAGGAGACCTTAGGAAGAGAAATTCTAATAATTGTATTAGAATTTAGAGAGAGTTGAGAGGTTGTTCTCGATTCTAGTGAGATTGTGAGAGAGGGATTGTAATCTTTTCATACTCATAATCTAGAGAATGTAATTTCCTTCGCCATACTGAATTGTTCTTGTGTTTTGGTCATCCTCTTCTCAACCCACTTTTTTAGTAATTCCACGACCAAAAGGTGCTCGCACGGTAACACGTATCAAGTTGGTATCAGAGCATCAGATTCGATGAAGGGGCATCCTGTGTATGGTCATTACTCGCTCACAGTACAAGAAGCTTGGCGAGATCCTTATTTCATTGGAAGGAGTCCAGGATTTAAGGAAGGAGAAGATGGCTGAAGGAGATAATTCAGCGAGGATTGATGCATTAGAGAAGCAGATCGAGACGATAGGGTTGACGTTCACAAAACTCGTCGGTCTCATCCAAGGAGGGAACGAAAAGGGGGAATCTTCTTCTAGGTCTAAGAAGAAACCTATAGAGTCCGGTGGAGAGAGCGAGCTTTCAGGCTCCGACGAGGAGGACGAGACCGTCAAGGCTGCACCGCATCAAGGGGTAAGAATTCTTACCAGAATCTGAAGATTGATTTCAGAGTGGAGATTCTTATTTATGATGGGAGTGTTGACGTCGAGAGGCTTGATGACTAGATCGAGCGGATGGAGACATATTTTACTCTTTATGGCTATTCGTCAAAAGAGAAGATTGTGTTCGCGTCTTTGAAGCTTTCAGGGCACGCGTTGACGTGGTGGAAATCCTATTGTAAACAGGAGAAGAAAGAGGCATCGTGGAACAAGTTCAAGGAGCTACTTAGAAAACAGTTCTATCCGGTGGGATTCCTTAAGGAGTGTTGGTACAAGTGGTATGGCTTACGCCAAAGGGTCAATCAAACCGTTTAAGAATACACTACGGAGTTCCAGCAGCAGGCAATGGTTCTTAACGTTGCGACAGAGGAATATTCCGTGTTCATAAAGTATATGGCGGGATTGAGCGATTACATCTGAAAGGAGATGAGGTTATTCACGGTCGAGACTATTGCAGAGGCGAGCGTGAAGGCCATTGCCATTGAGGGCAAGCAAAAGAAGAGCAACGAAGCAAAGGGGGATGCAAAACAAGTTGGAGGCGAGTCTAGTGGTTCTCAGTTTAAGGAGGAGAATGTTAGACCCTAGAGGGGGATGATTAGGGTCTTATGCTAATCTAATCCGATTGTATGCCAATTAAAATTAATTAACAAGTTATCCTAGCAAGTATGAAATATAATAATATATGTGAGCTAGGATAAGCAATATGAACAAGGGATATATCCTAGTAATAAGATATACTATGAGTTATATACAAGGATATGAAACTAAGGGTGATAAAAATATAAACAAGATAAACAAGATAGTAGATAATATGAACTAAGAGCAAATGACAAAGGCGATATAAACAATAAGCATGAATGTAAAAGAACGCCAATGACAAACTCAAACACACGATATGATCACGGAGTTCGGACCTTCCGTCCTACGTCTCCGCTCCCCACTCCCGGGGAGAATTCCACTATCACAACCGGGTTTTCTACGCTCACCCGAATAACGTTTACAACCACACTATGTTTATAAAATGCTAGAATTGAGTTTAAGGAAACTTCTCTATAGATGACAAGAGAGAGGGAGAAGAATGAATGCTCAAACACCAAGGATGATCTCCACTTGCTCTTGTGAAATTTGCTCCACAAATCAAACTCTTGTAAATGCTTAAAAGCTTTTTTAAACAAACACTAAACCCTTAAACAAAACTTGTAAACCTCTTAAAAACTTTTCTCTAGTTAGGTGGGAGAGGTAAATGTAATGGGGTATTTATAACAACCCAAGACATCAGCCAAAACCCTAAGAAAATGACAAAAACAGCCCCAGCAAACAGCTCAGGAAATAGCCGTTGGGAAAGCAACGGTAATATGGGCGGTCGACCGGAAATTCTATCGGTCGACCGACGGAGAGCAAAAACCCGAAGAAACGATCTGGACCATCATCGGTCGACCGGTGCGGTCGACCGATGGAGCTTTCGGTCGACCGAACCGGTCGATCGACAGACTCTCTGTCGCCCAGTGATGAAAGATCAAATGATCGGTCGACCGGTGCGGTCGACCGAAATCTGACACATGAAAAACCTGATATGCTGATTTTAAAAAGCTGTTTAAAAATATCAAATAAATTCCAAAAAATATAAAACTTTGGGGAATGATTGTAGACATGATAATAAACATGCTACAGCGACTGGTTATCAGAAAGGACCTCCGAAATGAAAAATATCATCATTTTACAAAATAGTCCAAAACATGAAAATATGATATACTTAAATTTTGATGTTTTGACATAAACCAACTTTTGAAACTTTGTGAAATGTTTTTATAGACTTAGTAAAACATGTATAAACTGATATTGAAGTCTACAAACTAAGAATATAATATTTTCACAAAATTGCATATTCTATGTAATGTTTTCAAAAACACAATAGAAAATATGAAATATATAATTTCATATATATAATCATAAAAACTCAAAACACATGTATGTATATATATAACTATATATATGCATAGAAACCAAAACTTATGTATATATATATAACTATATGTATATACGAAGAAACCAATAAATGTGTGTGTATAGATATTGAGCTTAATGTATTAAACACACATAATATAAATCCTAAACTAAATTACCCAAGCTTGATCTTGATCTTCATTGAGCTCAACTTGGTACACTTGCGGATGGAAACTAAACTTGGATCTTGAACTTGAATTGTACGATGCTTCACTCCACAATTCCGCCAACCTCCATTGGATATCATCGTTGTAGCGTATATTCCATCCAACCTCTAACAACGTTGTTTGTCTACAATACATAGGAATACACAAACACTAGACAAACAACATTAGTAGTAAATTGTTTGTAAATCATCATCAAAACAAGAAGGCCAACAGAGAAGAAGAAGGGTGATCCAGGAAAAACAGGACTGATTTGTGGTCATTGCGAGAAGACAGGGCACATAGCTGATCGGTGCTGGGAGAAGTATCATCATCTCAAGCCAATGGGGTTGAAGAAGGAGGAGAAAAAGGCGTACGTGATAGCTTAAGGTCCAAA